TCTAATTGCTCATGCTATTCCCCCATCCCGTCCATCAACAAATCACATTAGCTATACCTTCAAAAGACTATGGACTAGTCTAAACATGTATCATGACTGTGGTGGTGGTTACATGAAGTGAGATACGTGTTAAAATTTGTAGACCTGTACTCATACACAAAAATTTTACTCTGTTAATTTAAAAATAATTTTTGGGGGGCGCCTGGGTGGCTTAGCCGGTTAAGCGTCCGACTTTTGCTTAGGTCATGATCTTGCGGTTCGTGGGTTCGAGCCCCGCGTCGGGCTCTGTGCTGACGCTCAGAGCCTGGAGCCTGTTTCAGTCTGTGACTCCCTCTCTCTCTGACCCTCCCCTGCTCACGCTGTCTCTCTCTCTCCTAGAAATAAATAAAAATATTAAAATAAATAAATAAATAAAAATAATTTTTGGTTGCACCTGGGTGGCTCAGTGCTTGATTTTGGCTCAGGTCATGATCTCACAGTCGTGGGATTGAGTCCGTGTTGTGCTCTGTGCTGAGCATGGAGCCTGTTTGGGATTCTCTCTCCTTCAAAGTAAATAAACTCAAAAAAAATTTTTTTAATTGAATTTTAAGTTTAAAAAAATTTTTAGGGGCGCCTGGGTGGCTCAGTTGGTTGGGCGGCCAACTTCAGCTCAGGTCATGATCTCATGGTTCGTGAGTCCGAGCCCCGCATCAGACTCTGTGCTAACAGCTAGCTCAGAGCCTGGAGCTTGTTTCAGATTCTGTGTCTCCCTCTCTCTCTGACCCTCCCCTGCTCACACTGTCTCTCTCTCTCAGAAATATTAAAATATTTTTTTTTAAATTAATGAAATCCAGAATCTAACCACTTCTCACCACCTCAACGGCCACCATCTCTTATCTGTAGGATATTACTACAATACCCTAACTGGTTTCCCCAGTTCTCTTTTGTTCCTTATAGTAGCCAGGATGATCCTGTTAAAACCTATACCAGGTAATGACACCCTTCTGCTCAAAATCCTCCAACGGGTCCCTATTTCACTTCGAGAAAAAGCTGAAGCCCTTACGACAGCCCAGAAAGCCCAATGACAACTGGATCTCCTATTTCCTGAGACTTCATTTCCTACGACTCTCCTGATTTTCTCAGTCCACTGCACCAGCCCTCTCGCTCTCCCCAGACTACAGTAGGTGTTTCTAGCTTCTAGCTAGTGGTCTTTGCCATTTCCTCTGCCTGAAACATTCTCCTCCTTGATATCCACTAACACTCTCACCTCCTTCAAGTCTTGCTCAAATCTCACTTCTGTGAAGTTTATTCTGACCAGCAACTTGCCCCCCTCTTCCTCCCAAATCTGATTCTGATTACTCTTTACCCTGCTCAATTTTTTTTCCCAAAGCAAGTATCATCTTTTAATATAACTTAATATCTAGTCTGTTTATTACCTTTTTCTATATCCCTACCACCAGAATATAAATTCCATGAGGACAGGGTTGTCCATCTGTTTTACTCACTGATATATCCCAAGTCTCTAGAAAAATGCCTGCACATATTAGGTTTTCAACAAGTATTTAACTATTTCAAAAGCTGAAAGAATGCTGAATGAATAAAAAAAAATAAACTAACAAAAGTACAAACACACAAGGCAACATAAATGGTCGCCTCTCTATTTTATTTATTTATTTATTTATTTAAATTCAAGTTAGTTAACATACAGTGTAGGGTTGCCTTTCTAATTCAGAGACCTGAAGGAAAGGAGAGCACAAAGCAGCTATATGGGAGAAAACCATTTCAGGTGAAAGAAAGAGCAAGTGCAAATGCCCCAAGGCAGATGCATGCTCTGCACATTGAAGTACCCAATGAGGGAAGAAAAGAAATAAGGAGTACAGGTGCATGGAGCACGTGAGGAGGGGAACAGTAGGTGATGATGGCACCAAAGTTAATATAGGCCAGTTCACAAGGGATGAAGCCTACTGCCCACAGCGCAAACTGTGGCTTATACTTGAGTGAGATGAAAAAGCAGCCACTGGAGAGTTTCTGATTAGACTTACACGCTATTTCAAAATCTTCCCATAAAGAAGACCCTGGTGGAGATGGCCTTACAAGCATATTCCATAAGACACCCAAAGAACTAAAAGTTCTAATCTTAAACTCTCCTCCAGAAAACAAAAACAGTAAAAGGGAGAAAAAGCCTCAATTAACTTTATGTGGCTAGTGAAATCTTGAAACCAAAAACAAGTACAATAGTTTAAGAAAGAAAAGTACATCTTAATCTCTGAACAAATTTTAAGTCCTGAACAAAATACTGGCAAACCAAATTTACACAGATATGTTAATAATACTAACGTTTACTGAGCATTACTCTAAATATTGTGCATGGCTTAACTCATTTAATCCTAACAACCCTACTGTCAAAACTATCATTCCACCCATTTTATGGAAGAAGAAACTAAGACTCGAAAGGCAAAGTAATTTGCCAAATTCTGGCCACAGACAGAAAGTAAAGATCCTGGATTTTAATAATACCAATGAGATTCTGATTTCATTGCTCTGGAGACTGGACCCAATATATTTCAAAGCACCCCAAGTGAGGCTAATATGCAGCCAGGGTTGTGAACCACTGTTCCACAGCTTCCCCCACCCTGAGAAAAATTACACGGACATAGCTAAGGCAGATGTTCTAGTCAAGATTTAAATACGAACCAAGAAGGAGAGGTGAGAAAACATAATTTGTAAGATCTTTTCCAATGGTGAAATTCTATGATTATGTGTCCCCACACTGTCTTCTAGAATTCTCAAAGGTGTAAGATTTCATGCTAACAGATCCAATTCCAGTTCATCTTTGGAGAAATTTGTCTGTCAGTTTATTTCGCTGCCATGGAATTCCCCAAAAAAGAGCGTGGTAAAATATACTAGTAGCTTATAATACTAAAATTATTTTCAGAACGAGAAACACAGCTCTACTTTACAGAAAAGAGTAGCAAAGAGTAGCAAAAAGAATGAACGCTTGAAGAGGCCAACCTAGTATCTTTTTTAAAAAAGCCTAACTGGAAAACTTGCTGAGCTGCCCAAAGACCTGCCTCCTTCCCATCTACTCCTGTTAAAGTAGGCTGAGGCTACACCGCGATCCTGACACTCCCCTCTCCTGCAGCCTGCTGTTGACACGGTAGGGTTTGCCTGTGTAGTCAGAACCACGGCCACAGTGAACAAGCACGGCCAAAGCAACAACTGCCACCCTGAGAAGCTTAGGGGAGGCTCCTTGAGAAGGGCTGGGAGGAAATACAGGCTGCCTTGGCTACCCCAGCCAGCCCCAGGAAGCTGGCCTCCAGCCTCCTGCCCCATCCAGCTCTCCTTCCCAAGGAGAGGCATATGCACACACAGTTCCCCAAAGCAACGGTAACGGCTGTGCTGACCTACTTCCATTTGACTCTGCAGAATCAGAACTCCTTAGCCTTCAAGGAGTTGGGACTACTACAATTCCATCTCGAATTCTGGCATAGATTTTAAAGGTTTTTCCGGGGGGTGGGGGGATATAGGAAATAACTGTTAAGTCAAGTAAATTTAAAAATTGAAGATTGAAAAAAAAATTGAAGACTGAACTCAGTGTCTTTAAACTTGTTCTATAGGGCAAGCAATGAGCCAACGGGATTATCACTTTCAGTTCAGTGTACTATGTCCCCAAAATGCGAGTTGATTTAGGTAGTCTCCCTACCTAAAGGGTGCTAGAGACCCAGTGGTCCAGCCACATAAAACATCTGACCATCTTCCCCCATGCTCCTCCTGTCTTGTCTTTGCTCACAGTGTCTACTCTACCAAACATGCGCTCTCCCATACCCCTTTCTGAAGCACTTCTACCCCTTATGAAAGCCCTGCTCAAGCCTCACTTCCTCTAACGTGTTCTCCCAAACCCCTCACCCACTCCTGTATTAACTTCATTTATATCTCTGTTATAATATGGCATCCCTGACCCTTTCCCCTTTTTAGACAGCCTTTTATCTGTCTCCAACAAGAAATCAGGCCCTGGTAGACAATGATCAAGTTCATAGACTCTTGTTCAGGCCTTCCAGTATCTGATACAAAGAAGACCTCCAGGAAATACTTGTTCCAACAGAACCAAATTCAAGCCACGCGCAGAGAAGTTGCTCTGTTGGTCTGACCCTGGTTTGCTAAGGACATAAAATGGTGTTCTTTCCTCCTCCTTACATATCTTCTTGTGTTCACTTGCTTTGAATATTAAAATGAATTTTAAAATGAATTTTATGGTTTCCTTAGTATATACGATTGAAGGTTTTTTAAATTGAATTTAAGTCACATAACATAAAATGCACCCCTTTAAAGTATACAATTCGGTGGTTTTTAGTGTATTCATAAAGTTGTACAATCATTACCACTATATAATTCCAGGATGTGCCCATCACCCCCAAAATAAAACCTGTATTCATTAACAGTCACTCCCCACTGTCACTCCATCCCCAACCCCCTCAACCACGTATCTTTCTCTCTCTGATAAGTATGATTTTAACAAAGCCTACAGTACTCTTAACCATGGCTTTATTATACCTTAAAGCCAAATGTTACCTTCAAAAAGAAGCAGTTTCTCTTCTTTTATCAGAACCCAACTGAAAAATGTGATTTAAGACAGTAACTTACTAAGGTATCATTTCAGGATAAAGTAAAATCTGTTACCAGAAAAATCATCTTCCATGTTTGTTTTCTCATTTGTTTTTGTTCTGTTAAGCATTTTACCGAAGAAGTATAATACACATACAGAACAGTATACGTATTGAGGGTCCCCCTTGATAAGTTTTCAAAAACTGAATACATAAGCATAACCAACACCCAGATCAAGAAAGAGCACAGAATCCCCCCACACCCTTCTTCCAGTCACTCCCCTCCTCCAAAGTGTAACCACCATCTTGACTTCTAACAGCATACGTTACTTCTGCCTGTTTTTGCTTTATAAATAGAAGCAAATTGTATGCAGTATAGAACTCTTACAATGAATTCTATGTATGCCTTGTAATACTCACCGTAATCTTCTTGTACAAAGCCATGACATTATCATCATCAAACGGTAGAAAGCCACACATAAGTACATATAAGAGTATGCCCATACTCCAAACATCTGCCTGAGAGGGGGAAAGAAAGAATTTTTTTAATAATTGAGAACATATTACAGAATGACAGTATACTTAATGGAATCTTCACAGAGCTGAAAAAGGGTGCAGAGATCATTTAGTTCAAACTGCTCATTCTATAGACAAGGAACCTAAAGCCCAGAAAGGAAGTCTTGTTCAAAGTCACCCGGGCAATGGCAGGCCACCCAGGTAGGTCTACCTACTTTTTGTTCAGTGCACTCTCTCCCAATGTTGGATCCTAATGCTCAAAAGAAAATAATTCCTAGTTGGCTGGGCTGGATTGGGTATGATAAGGAAGGAGATGAGGCCAGGTCTCTAATTCTGAAAGACAGTTCTATAGTGCTTTTGAGGGTTATAATTTTTTTTTTTTTACTTTTTTTTATTTATTTTTGAGACAGAGAGAGACAGAGCACGAGCTGGGGAGGGGCAGAGAGAGAGAGAGACAGACAGAATCTGAAACAGGCTCCAGGCTCTGAGCTGTCAGTACAGAGCCCGATGCAGGACTTGAACCCACAGACCACAAGATCATGATCTGAGCTGAAGTCGGACGCTTAACTAACTGAGCCACCCAGGCGTCCCATTAATTTTTTTTTTTTTTTTCTGAGAGAGAGAGAGAGAGAGAAAGACAGCGTGAGCAGGGGAGGGTCAGAGAGAGAGGGAGATACAGAATCTGAAACAGGCTCTAGGCTCTGAGCTAGCTGTCAGCGCAGAGACGGACACAGGGCTTGAACCCATGAACCGTGAGATCATGACCTGAGCTGAAGTCGGACGCTTAACCGACTGAGCCACCCAGGAGCCCCTATTGAGGTTATATAAACATGCATGAGGATGTCAAGACAAGTCTTAAAATTTACTGCTGATATTCTGCAAATGTGACTAAGCTGTGCTGTAAAGTCCTCTCTATGTAAAGAAACCTTAATAAAGTTCAACGATTGACTTCTCAAATACAGAGGCTAGAAATTAGCCTGCCAACACAAACACCCCTACAAATCTCAAAATCCCAGAAAGGAGTTTAACCTTTGTATAAGATATCCATTTGTCCCATGAGTCTTAAGCACTAACTACTAATTCAGGCGGTATTTGGCCTTAGTCAACAATGACGCCACTGTTGACTGAGGAACAGTCACAGCTTTCACTCTCACATGAGCCTTAGCAAAATTTTAAGAGGTAAAAAGGGCAGCTGTTTTTTTAAGGCAGGAGGGGTGGGAAGAGGAGAGAAAGAGTTAAAATAACTCAAGGAGCATCATAGCTAAGGAGTACCTATATTAAGTAACCCAAATCTAACACCTAGTCCTGTCTACCAAATCACATCAAATTCTTAATATGCCCCAAATGAATGAGCTACTTCCAGGCAAACACCTCCTTTTTTCTTCCAAGTTGCAAGAGGTCAGAAAATAACTATTTATGCCTCAGAAATGTCAAATAACTGATCTAAAAATTCAGCCTGGATAGCACGGCACGCCTGATCAGAGTGTTCAATTCAAAGCAAAGAGGCTGCAGAGGGAACAGAGGGCTAGCACAGCCTCATCAAATGCCGTAAAAAGAGGTCAACAGAGAGATTATGTCTGAGGTTAAATAAAAAGATAAGGTAAGGGGCACCTGCGTGGCTCCAGTGGCTAAGCATCTGACTCTTGGTTTCAGCTCAGGTCATGATCTCATGAGATCATGAGATCAAGCCTGCATAGGGGGTGGGCTGTGCTGACAGTGCGAAGCCTGCTTGGGAGTCTCTGTCTCCCCCTCTATCTCTCTGTCCCTCCATCTTTCTCTTTCTCTCAAAATAAATACATTAATCAAAAAGATAATAAAATAAAAGCTGTTAAAAATGTTTTTAAAAGTCTTTTAAAAAATTGTGGGCTGCCTGGCTGGCTCAGTTGGTAGAGCATGTGACTCTTGATCTCAGGGTCATGGGTTTAAGCACCACATTGGGCATGGAGCCTACTTTTAAAAAAATTACCACATAATTTAAAAGAGGCGGTTGGGGGGCACCTGGGTGGCTCAGTCGGTTAAGTGTCCAACTTCGGCTCAGGCCATGATCTCACAGTTCATGGGTTCAAGTCCCACATCGGGCTGTGTGCTGACAGCTAGCTCACAGCCTGGAGCCTGCTTCGATTCTGTATCTCCCTCTCTCTCTCATCCTCCCCTGCTCAAGCTGCCTCTCTCTCTCTCTCAGAAATAAATAAAACATTAAAAGAGAGAGAGACAGAGACAGAGAGAATGTTCAGGTATGCAGTAAAGCCTCCCTCAGTTCAAATCTTGACCAGTAACTACCAGTTGTGTGACCTTGCAAAGGCGCTTAATTTCTGAGCCTCAGTTTCTTCAACTTCTTACCTTAATGAAATGAGTAACAGTAGTCCCTCCAAAGGATTTTTGTGCGGTTTAAATGAAAATTATAAAAAGTATCTAGCATTGGGATGCCTGGGCGACTCAGTCAGTTAAGTGTCCGACTCTTAACTTCAGCACAAGTCATGATCTCAGTTTGTGGATTCAAGCCCCGTGTCAGGCTCTGCACTGACAGCATGGAACCTGCTTGGGACTCTCTCACCCTCTCTCCCTGCCCCTCTCCTGTGCACGTGCATGTTCTCTCTGAAAATAAACATTTAAAAAAAACGAAAACAATTCTAACACATGCTACAACATGGATGAGTCTTAAGGATATTATGCAAAGTGAAATAAGCCAGTCACAAAAAGACAAATATTGTAGGACCCACCATATAAGGTACCTAGACTGGTCAAATTCATATAGACAGAAAGTAGACTGGTAGCTGCCAGCAGTGGGAGGAAGGAAGAATAGAAAAATTATTTAGTGGGTATAGAGTTGCATTTTGCAAAATGAAAAGAGCTCTGAAGACATAAGGACATTAATGGTACAATTAACAGCACATGAATATGAATTATGGATTAAATAAGTTGTATCAATGTTAAATTCCCAATTTTGAGAACTAATGTGTGGGTATAAAAGAGAAGCCCCTTGCTTTTAGGAAATATATGCATAATATTTAACAATAAAGGGAAATAATGCCTAAAACTTATTAATTGGTTAAGAAAAGAATATGCATATATACAAATAGAGAACGAGAATGGAAAAGCAAATAGAATGAAAAAATGTAGGGGCACCTGGGTGGCTCAGCCAGTTGAGTGTCCGACTTCGGCTCAGGTCATGATCTCATGATTCGTGGGTTCAAGCCCCACGTCGGGCTCTGTGCTGACAGCCAGCTCAGAGCCTGGAGCCTGTTTCAGATTCTGTGTCTCCCTCTCTCTCTGACCCTCCCCTGCTCATGCTGTCTCTCTCTCTCAGAAATAAATAAAATATTTTTTAAAAATGAAAACAACTGTGAATAGGACTAAATGTATACAGAAGTTCCTCATTCCATATTTGCAACTATTCTATAAGCTTGAGATTATATCCAAATCAAAAGTCACCAAAAGAAGTCAGTTCCCATCTTCTCTTGTTATGAATTCAGTAAATGGGCATATCTCAAGGTTTCTCCAACATAACACTAGTTCCAAAAGGGGCAGCACATAAAAAGCGGACTCTAGGCGAGTAAAATCATGACGAGCTACTCTCAGTGATGCTCCCCTCCCAGAGGATCACACTGGACGAGAATATATTAAAGATCTGGAGATGTCCTCAACTAAAAACATGATTCAATCCAGCATTTCCTGAGCTTTTGATAACTCAACTTTGTCTTATAATACTAATATTAACAATATTAGTACTTCAAAAAACAGAAAGGACTGACTAACCTACAGTAGCTAATGGTAAGTAAAACAGGCAGTGCCCAGGCCTTCTGAGCCTGGGCCCCCTACAAAAGACTGCTGGCCTCAGATAAGTATCTTGCCATGAACAAAGTCCAAGTTTTCTCAGAGCTAACCAGCAAGCATCTCTGAAAACTGAGGCTGCAACCCTGGCCTTGTGCTCTACCTGGCTGGACTAACTAGTCTATGATACTGATAAAACTATGATACTGTTTTAACACGAAAGTAGACACAACAAGGACACCTTGCTTCATAAGTATACTATGTATTGTTAGATTTATTGCAAGCTATTCATTTCATGTGTTACTTTAAATCTTACTCTCTGAATAAACTGAACTCTTTGATTAACAAGATTATTTCTGACCTTATTGTAATATCCCCAAAGCACAATGTCTGACTCACTCCAGGTCACCAATAAATGTACACTGATTATATACTGAATTAATCAATGAATAATTACCTCCGATCCCAGGTATGATTTGCCCTGTATTAATTCAGGTGCTGCATAAGCAAGACTCCCACAGCATGTCTGAAGATGGTAATCCCTGTTACCCTGCCAACAAGAAAAAATGAAATACTCCTTAATCACGGCCCTAAAGAAATTAAAACCTTGATAAACATTCTTTTGGCACAAGCAAGGAGAAACTAGATGAAGAATTATCTCAAAGAATGAGAGACTCCATGCAGCCAACTCAATACTCTGCTACATGCATGTGAGCACGTGCAGTTTACTCTTCTCTGCATTTTCTATACCACTACAACCTGGCGTGAACAAAACCTCCTTCTTAGCTCAGTCAAGTCAGGGTCATACTTTCCTAGACATCCATTCACATAATAATCAGCTTAGCATACAGCCAAGCACCCATGTCTTCCCATCCTCAAGAACTCACAGAAAAAGAACTATTTCTTTCCTGGATCCTATCTCCAGTATCAAATCTTCACAAATACAGAAAAGTTTCTCTTTCCTTAGAGGGAAGAGAGGAATCTGCTGCACCAAACAGTGCCTTAGGAATCTGTTTTCTAGACCCAGTCATAACACATATACACACAAAAAACACCCGAGCTTCCAGATCTGTGAAAATGAGGAGTCTGCTCGACATCCTCTGCTCTCGCACAGAAACATCAAGACATAAAGAACATGATACGACTACCCAACACTTGTGTAGTCCTACAACTGGCAAACGGCTTGCGAAACTGTGAAATTTCATTTACAACGGCAACAACGTGCCCAGAAGTGAACTTCTCAGCAGAAAGCGGAGGCAATCCTCTCCCAGCCAAGGCTGCTTTTTCAGATGGTGTCTGTGTGGGTTGAATCTGTGGCAGCCATAAATAAAAGCTAATGGAGTCTGTCACAAACCTCCACTGCCTCCTGTGGAGAACATGACTCAAACCAGTTTATCTGCTCCAAGTATGTTTTATCTTTATATGCCTGCCGATCAAAAAAAAAAAAAAAAATGCCATAGAGCATTTGGCTCCCAGACATAGGCTCCACTGACAATCTCTGAAGAGCCAAGGGAAGGAGAGGAAAATCAGAAAGAATCAGACATTCAGCCAAAGGGGCAAAATCTGCTTCCCTCTGCATTTAGCTAATTCTGATTGGGGCAGGAAATAATCACGGGACTACAAAGAGCTAAGACAGGTCTGCAATTTCAACATTCTTAATGAGTGTAGACAGCTCATTTTAGAGACTGTGAGTACCATCATTAGAGAACTCAGGAGGAAGCCTCCAACAGGCAGCCACACAGGAGCTCTGCAGACAGCACAGCTAGAAAGTTCAAAGTCACCTCAAAGAGAAGGTATGCTGGAGAACACCAGTACTTAACTGCGGAGTGCAAATTGAGGAAATACATAACTGTATACATTTAGAAGTGCACACGGACTTTTTCCTTCCTCTTTTATAAGGAAAGAGGATTGCTTCTCAAAATGTAACTATTAGTTATATAACCATGTGGATAGCAAAGACTAGATCTGCACTAAATTCCCAAAACTGCTATCTAAATGAACAAAAGCTTCATCTAGTTGCAATACTCAAATTGCAAACATATGATCAATTCAGAATTCGTGTTGTAATGACCTCATGTCACCTCAGCATTGCAAATTCTCTCACATCACACCCATGGGGGCTTCAGCAGGGCCAACCCTGGACCTAGAACAGTGGTTCTCAATCGTGGCTACCTATTTGAATCGTCTAGAGAACTTCTAAAGGGGATGAAATTTAACATTCTTCTCAATGGATGCAACCACACTCAATAAAGGCTAAGTGGAATTCAGTGAAAGATAACACCCTAACAGGTACATTTACAAAGGAAATAAATACATTTTTACTTCTGCACTTACCTTGGGTTTTGCACAGAGACCAAAGTCAATCAGTTTTAATTTATGATATTCATCAAACAACAAATTTTCCTGGGGAAACAAAGATATTTTCTTAACTGTATATTGACTTCCTTATATCACATCCTACCTCTAGCCATTTCTAAAAACAATTTCTAAATGAAGATTTTTTTTTTCACATATAAGACATTTATTTCCAGAGTATTTCCCATAGTAAGTTTTTAAAAACAGAAAGTAAACTTGAGTATCCTGTGGGACTGTATTCAAGGACTGACACCTTTTTGGGGGAAAAATACTTTCTGTACTATACAATATACATATTTAGGACAAAAGCAAACATAAAAAGTATAAAAACAAACAAAAAGATACAAACACAATACATTTTGGTTTGAATTTCAGAGATTTTTTTTTTTCCTCTCTTCCCCTTTACCTTCTAAAGTAGCATATATTGCTGCACTTTCGATATTTGGTTGTACAGTTAATGAACTTGAGTCTGGATGACTGGGGATCATCTATTCGGCTTTCCCATTCTATTGTTTCTTCTTTGATGAATAAAGGTTTTCCTAGAGTTTGGCCAAAAAGTCACAGACGTCTTGAGCTTTGTACCACACGCTGGCAGTAAGACAGGCCTGCCATCTTAGACACTAAACAGAAGCTGGAGGATGACAGAACTGGAGCTGGCTGATGACAACGGAGCTACCTAGCTCTTCACTGACAAAGTTACAAATATTTTATATTTTTCCAAATTCAGTAAATGTAACGCAGACCTCTGCTTCCATGAAATAAGCGTTTCACTCTTCTAAAACCCTTTGTCACAGTCACTTTTTCTGCCTGCAGCCCCTGCCATTGGAGGCTCTGTGTGATGTGGTCCAGGAAGCAGCAAAACCAAGAGAAAAGATTTAAGATCGTTTATGCTAAGCAGTCTGGGAACAACAGAATGAAAATCACTAAAAAAGAATGAAATGACAAGAAGTAAGGACAGGGAAAGAAGGGGAATGTTGATAACTATCCTGCTTTCCCTCAAGACACTTCCACATAAGCCATCCCCTCCATGGTGCTCTAAGGTTCAACTACAAGCAAACACAATGTGTGTCAAAACAAAAGAAAGAGCTCAAATCAAAGGGCTGGGTAAACAGAGGGAAAAGGAAAGTGACGTTGCCATATTTTGTCAACCAATTCTAGATTCCTGATGCTAATACCAAGTAACATAAAATCCATGTTCACCACCATCCATATTAGTGGTGAACATGCCTACAGACTTAAGAGTATTCACATTTTTATTCTGTCCTTGAAAAATTAGTCTGTTCATTCCATTGAACTATTCCTTTCTGAGGTATAATGGAATTAAATTAAAGGAAGATGAGTTTAGGAAAAAAGTACTGAAGGGAAAATACTCAATGACAATATTCTCAAAGAAAATACTCAAAATTCTTCTTTCCTAGAGATAAAATCCGAAGTTTATAGTCCCCAGCTGATTACAAAGACATTCATAATGTCACTCACAACTGACAAATATATAGAATAACGACAATAAGGTACATCCAAAAAAGTCTACCGGCAACCAAAAAGAAAGAAAAGTGATACAATTATGAGTGGTACAAAAAATGAAGCAAAGCCAAGATAGACTCTAAATAGAAAGAACCCGTGGAACACTAGTAAAACTGGTACATGACGTTGAACTCTCGGGTAAGCATCTGTGACAGTCACTTACCGGTTTGAGGTCCCTGTGAGCATAACCCTGGCTATGCACATAAGCAACTGCAGATACTATCTGACGGAAGACGACTCGGGTCTCCTCCTCGGAGAGGCGATCCTGGGAAATTATGTAGTCAAACAGCTCTCCTCCAGGGCAATACTTCAATAACAACAGAGGCACATAGATATGATTACTACTGACAAAAATCACTTCAGAGGAATTAAAACAAAAAATTATACTTAACTTAGAGATATCTTTAATTCAACTTACAGGTAAGGAAACCAAGTGAGGTACAGTCAAAAATACATTCTCACAATCAGACAGGTCAACAATTACTTCAGGACACAGAAGAGCTCTTCGTCTCAAGCAATTTTATGGCCAGTAAGTAGAAGTAGAATCAACTAACACTGTGATCTTTTTTTTATGTCTATTTCATTTTTGAGAGAGAGAGAACATGTGCGCACGCAAGCAAGGGAGGGGCAGAGAGAAGAAGATCCCAAGCAGGCTCTGCACAGGCAGCAGAGAGCCCAATATGGGGCTCAAATTCACGAAATGTGAGATCATGACCTGAACCGAAGTCGGACACTTAACCAACTGAGCCACCCAGGCACCCCCTGACACTGTGATTTTTAAGTTCATTCAAGGTTTTATATTTTTATAGCAAAGTACTAAAACCCTTTCTCATCTTAATGCACTCATATTTAATGTAGTTACCTAAAACAAACACCAAAAAAAGCATACAATTTTTAAAATATTTTTTAAAGATTTTATTTTTAAGTAATCTCTATACCCAGTGTAGGCCTCAAATTCACAACCCCAAGATTAAGAGTCACCTCTTAATCTTAAGAGTCACCCACCTGAGCCAGCCAGGTGTTTCTCCCCCCATCACCAGCAGCAATTATTGCTTTTCCATCCTGAAGACCAGAGATTTTTAGTCTGTACCAGAAGCCCAGCTCTACACAGGTTCATAAGAAGCTACAGGAGAATAGGTACCAAAATATAAAGTTCTTAGCTTTCCATCCCTTCTTTTTTTGTAAACTGGGGTTTCCTTTCAAGATTTCATTTCACCTTAGTAGTTATCAAATAAAATCACAAATATCTATAGCTTTTGACCTCATAGCTCCACATTTAGAAAATGTTCCTACAGATTAACACCAAAAACACACTTTAGGGACACCTGGGTGGCTCAGTCAGTTGAACATCAGACTCTTGACTTCAGCTTAGGTCATGATCCCATGGTCATGGGATCAAATCCTGTTTCAGGCTCCATGCTGTGCGTGGAAACTGCCTGGGATTCTCTCTCCCTTTCCCTCTCTCTCTCCCTCCTCTGCCCCTCTCCCCTGTTCCTGCCCTCTAAAAATAAAATCAAACTTAAAAAAAAATTACACATTTTCAAGATTATCCACCACAGCAGTACTGTTTCAGAACAACAAAGCCTGGAAACAATCCAAATACACTCACACTATTTAAATGTAAATTCCATTATAAAATGGAATTCTATGCGGCCAGTAAAAAATAAATAAATAAAAGGGAGACTCTTTACAAATTGATATGAAACAATTTCCAGCATTTAGAGAAAAGATATAAAGAGTATACACTGATACAGTGACTTCCAAAAAGCATTATGCTGAACAAAAGAAACCAAACACAAAAGAGTACAGACTGTATGATTCTACTTATATTAAGTTCTACAACAGGTAACACTAACCTATGGTGACAAAAATCAAATCACTGGTCACTGAGAAGTACAGTGGGCAGATGGGCTTACAGGGATTAATGTCACAGGGTCAGGAGAAAACTTTCTGGTATAATGGATACGTTTCATTCCTAGGCTGGGATGAGAAGTACATAGGTGTTTAGCTTTTTCAAAATGTATAGCTAATGTATGCTAAATTTTAGCATATAAAAATTACAGCTCAATTTTTTTATATGTTATCCAATAAGATTTATATAAACAGCCTACTTTATAAAGAAATGCAAAACGAAGTGAAACAAAAACATTAAAAACCTCTACAAATATACATAGATGGTCTCCAAGCTAAAATGTTAAGTGCAGGAAGAAAAAAAACAAGGTACAAAATATTATAGTATGCAACCATTTGTATGACAGAAACTAATAAGCCACCTACATATGTATATATATTTACATATACATGAAAACATATATGTCTTCACACACATAAAATATACGAAGGGATTTATAAGTACAGTTGACCTTTGAACAACACAGGGGTTAGGAGGTTAGGGGTAGTGACCATCCTCAGAGTTGAACATCTGCATGTAACTTTTTTAATTTTAATTCCAGTATAGTTAACATGTGTTATATTAGTTTCAGGTGTACAATGGTTCAATAATTCCATACATTACTCAGTACTCATCAGGACACAGTACTCTTAATCCCTTTTACCTATTTCACCGATCCCCTGCCACCCGCCTCCCTTCTGATAACCATCAGTTAGTTCTCTGTAGTTAAGAGTGTTTTTTGGGGTGCCTGGGTGGCTCAATCGGTTAAGCATCTGACTTCGGCTCAGGTCATGATCTCATGGTTTGTGGGTTCAAGCCCCGCATTGGGCTCAGTGCTGACAGCTAGCTCAGAGCCTGGAGCCTGCTTCAGATTCTGTGTCTCCCCCTCTCTCTCTGACCCTCCCCTGCTCATGCTGTCTCTCTCTCAGAAATAAATAAAACATTTAAAAAAAAATTTTTTTTAAAGAGTGTTTTTTGAGGGGCACCTGGGTGGCTCAGTTGGCTAAGTGTCTGACTCTTGATTTCTGCCCCGGCCATGATCTCACAATTTATGAGCTCAAGCCCCACATCAGGCTCCATGCTGATAGTGCAGAGCCTGCTAGGGATTCTCTCTCCTCTCTTTCTGCCACTCCCCCGCTTATTTCTTTCTCTCTCTCAAAATAAATTTTTTTTAAAAAGCATTTTTTGGTTTGTCTTTTTTTTTGTTTGTGTCTTAAATTCCATATGAGTGAAATCATATGGTATTTGTCTTTCTCTGACGGACTTATTTCACTTAGCATTACACTCTCTAAATGCATCCAAGTTGTAGCAAATAAGATTTTATTCTTTTTTATGGCAGAATAATGTTCTATAGTGTGGGTGTGCGCATGTGTGCGTGTGCGCACAGGTGTGTGTGTCTGTGTATGTACATACACATACCACATCTTCTTTATCCTTTCATCTATCAATGGACACGGGCTGCTTCCATAGTTTGGCTACTGTAAATAATGCTACAAACATAGAGGTACATATATCTTTTCAAATTAGTGTTTTCATATTCTCAGAGTAAAGACCCAGTAGTGGAATTACTGGATCATACAGTAGTTCTATTTTTAATTTTTTGATATATGCATTTAACTTTTGATTCCCAAAAATCTAACTATGAAAAGCCTACTGTTGACAGGAAGCCTTACCAATAACATAAACAATTAACACATATTTTACATGCTACGTGTATTATATACTATATTCTTACAATAAAGCTGGAAAAAAGAAATTCATATGGAAGACGAAATATATTTATAGCACTACACTGAAAAAAATCTGTGTGTAAGTCGACCTGTGCAGCTCAAACCCATGTTGTTCCAGGGTCAAATGTACATGGAAAATCTGTAAGAAACACAAGAAAAGTGACTGAATTAGAGGAAAGGGCACTGGAGGACTGTGATAAGGGAGAGAGAGAATTCTACTTTTTAATATATACTCTTGTACCTTTCGGTTTTGCCCTAGGTTTAGAGGCTTTTTGCTGGTTTTGTTGTTTTTTTTTTTAAGTGTTTAATTTGGACAAAGGAATCAGCTTAAAATAAAGGCTTTAAAAGCATCACTGTGGACCATGCGGGCGGATCTACAGCGTAATAAAGAGAAAATAGTTTTAGGTCCAAAACTTTCAACATTATAAATTTTAAATATGCTTTTAAATGTACTGTGAAAATCATGTGCAGTTACAAATTATTTGGCTGAGATAAAGCGGGCACCTGGGTGGCTCAGTTAGTGAAGCTTCAAACTCTTGATTTTAGCTCAGGTCATGATCTCATGGTTCATGAGATCAAGGCAAGGCCTATGTCAGGCTCTGCACTAAAAGTGAGGAGACTGCTTGGGATTCTCTCTCTCTCCCACTCTCTCTCTGCCCCCTCCTTCTTCAAAATAAATTTTAAAACTAAAAAAAAACAAAAAACAAAAAAACAAAAAAAAAAAACCTTTAGAGCCTTGGCTGAGACTAAAGCAAAGCAAATGGAATAAAAGATGGATAATACACTAAAGACTTCACATTTCAGGCTAAAAGGGCAGTTACAGCTTGAAAGAGTCTGATTCATATAACACATGTATTGAAGGCTACCCATAGGCTGTGGGTTGAATTGTGCCCACAAAAAGATATGTGCAAGTCCTAACATCTGCTGCCAATGAACATGACCTTATTGTAGATGTGATCGAGTCCACATGAAGTCATACTGTATCAGGGTGAACCCTAATCCAATGGCTGTGTTGTTACATGAAGAGGGAAATGTGGACAAAGACACAGACACGCAGATAAGAAAACGCCATTTAGAGACAGAGGTGAGTACATCTACAAGCTAAGGAACACCAGAGATTGACAGTAACCATCAGAAACTAGGAAAGTAGCACAGAACAGATTCTCCGGAAGAAACCAACCTTGCCCTCATCTTGATTTCAGACTTCTAGCTTCCAGAGCTGTGAGACAATAAATTTCTGTTGTTTTAAACTACCAAGGCTGTGGGTACCTCAGTCAGTTAAGCGTCCAACTTCGGCTCAGGTTACGATCTCACAGTTCGTGGGCCTGAGTCCCATGTTGAGTCCCACGTCGAGTCCACATCGAGCTCCGTGTCGGGCTCTGTGCTGACAGCTCAGAGCCTGGAGCCTGCTTCAGATTCTGTGTCTCCCTCTTTCTCTGACCCTCCCCTGCTCACACTGTGTGTGTCTCTCTCTCTCAGAAATAATTAAAACATTAAAAATATTTTTTAAACTGCCAAGTTTGTGGTACTTTGTTATGGCAGCCCTAGACTAATATGCCATACAAAGCTAAAATGGATTCTTCCCTTTAGGAATAAATTTTAACATATTCTATTCACGAATCCTAACCCCATTAGGAGTGTATTAGAAAGTATGCATTTACAATGAATCTCCAACTTATTATACACATCCACTTAATCTAAATTATTATAGAGAGAATTCAAACAGGTAAGCTCATTAACATTTACTTAATCTTTCAGAAGGCAAAACACCCTTTTCCCTTAACTATTGATAAAGTGACTGGAAATGGTCTAAATATCTGATTTCTCCCCAAAATTGTTATGTTGAAAGATGATGGTACTGAGGCGGATCCTTTGGAAAGTGATTAGGACACAAGGTGGAGCCCTCATGAAGGGAATTAGTACTCTTATAAATGAGGTTCCAGAGAGATACCTTGGTCCCTCTACCATTAAGGACACAGCTGGAAGGTGCCAACTATGAATCAGGAAGAGGGCCCTCACCTGACCATACCAGTCCCTTGATCTTGGAATTACCAGCCTCCAGAACGATGAGAAATAAATTTCCATTGTTCATAAGCTACCTAGTCTATATTTGTTATAGCAGCCCAAACGGACTAAGACAGAAACCAAATACCTTTCAGGCTCCAGACCATACTACTAACCTCAAGAACCAGGAATATTTTGTTGGCTGTCTCCAGCACATGGTAGAGTTGACAAATATGCTGATGTCTTAGGTTCTTCAAGGCCTCAATCTCCGTTTTGACCCGGGGCAAATCACTCTGTGACAAACACACATTACATGAGCAATAAACCGATTTTGGAAGTGCTCCAAATATCAACAGCAAAAGCTTTAATGAGTAGCAAAAGCAACCAATAGCCAAAGTGTTCAATAGCACAGGAAAATATAACAAAAATTATCTGTGTGTACATAAAAAAGGTGAGGGTTTTACGAAAGATTAAGTTTGATGTGTCCAGAAAAATCAAAACAATCTCAGACTCCCTTAGGTTAGCATTCCAGGGGCGCCTGGGTGGCTCAGTTGGTTAAGTGTCCAACTTCAGCTGAGGTCATGATCTCACGGTTCGTGGGTTCAAGCCCCACGTCGGGCTCTGTGCTGACAGCCAGCTCAGAGCCTGGAGCCTGTTTCAGAGTCTGTGTCTCCCTCTCTCTCTGACCCTCCCCTGCTCACGTGCTCTCTCTCTCCTAGAAATAAATAAAAACATTAAAAAAAAAAACCTTTACTTAATTAAAAATGTTACTTTTTATGTTTTTTTATCAACATTTGTAAAATGTTTGTGTTGTTTTACTCAGTGGTACACTACTAATAGTTATAATGCTAAGTCAATCCACGAAAAAAAATTTTTAACATTCAGATTTTTGGTTAGAGACAAAAATGATTTTTTTTACTGTTTTCTAATTTATCTCCAAAAACAAAAGAAACAGGGGTGCCTGGGGGGCTCAGTAGGTTAAGCGTCCAACTTCGGCTCAGGTCATGATCTTGCTGTTTGTGGGTTCAAGCCCTCCACTGGCCTCTGTGCTGACAATTTGGAGCTTGGAGCCTGCTTCATATTCTGTCTCCTTCTCTCTCTGCCCCTCCCCTGACTGTGCTGTCTCTAAGATAAATAACATTAAAAAAATTTTTTTAACAAAAAAAAAAAAAGGCAGCCACAGATACACACACACACACACACACACACACACACACACACACACACACACACACACATACTAAGAGACCAGTGAATTCTCAGGAGGAGACCAGAACAAAGAAAACCAAAGAGACCAAATGATATAAGGGATGATGAAAGAATTAGAAACAAAAGATCACTCAGGGTGACTTCAAACACTAAAAAGGTTTAACATGCCCAAAAACGACCATCAAAAGAGACCCATCTTCCCTTAATATAAAAACAATAAACTTTATGTACATTAAAACCAAAACCACATATTGAATGGGCTGTTTGAGGAGGTAATACTCCGCTCAGTTCTGGACACACCCCTGTATATGAGAAACAGGCTGATTACAAAAAGGACCTCATGATATAACTTCAAAGGTCAGTTTGAATAAAACTGTAGAACTCACATCTATCAAAAAAGAGATCAGCATTTAGTAAAGGGATCATGAGAAGGTACAGGAGATATTAATCTTCAGAAGCACCTGTAAGACTTTGAAACATTTGCAGGAAAATGGACCCTACAGACTTCAGATTTGTGCCATTGCCTGGCATTAAAATTAAGGACAAAGTAACCCCTTCCCCAGATTTACTTTTTAAAACCAAAGATTTATACATAACCTGCAATCTAAAAAACAAGCAAACAAACAAGCTATAGAAATACTATTCTAATGAAAGTAGTAACTAGAACATTAGAACAAATTCAGGTTTTTAATTTACAAAACTGATCTATAGATTTTTTTTTAATAATTTTAACTTACCCCTAGTGCATTTTTATCCATGATTTTTATAGCTACCATTTCTCCAGTGAGGATATGGCAGGCGAGTTTGACCTTTGCAAAGCCACCTAAGCACAGGAAAACATATTATGAAGAGATAAGCAAGGGTAACCTAAAGTCATCATAAAGCAGCCTCAGGTCTCAGGCACAAATACCTCCCACATGCTTTTTTTTTTTTTTAGGATTTTATTTTAAGCAATTTCTACACCCAGCGTGGGACTCAAACTCACAACCCCAAGATCAAAAGACGCATGCTCTGAGCCAGCAAGTGCCCCTCCATATGCTTCTAAAAGGCTCTATCAATCCATATTTTCCTAGAAGTTTGTGGCTCTCTCTTCCTGTTGCTTCCAAAGCACTAGCCATGACTTTAACCTCTCCTCATCCGATGTTCACCTGAAGATTTGTTTCACCATGATAGTATCTTTAACATTATAATGAAGAAGTAGGAAAACAGAATTCACTATTTAGAAATTTGCTTTACAAATAACACTGCAAATAAATTTGCTTTATAATTAAAACTGCTAGAACACAATATAAAGTTGCTGAAACAAAAGACAATGGGAAACATCCACTCATTTTTAAAACTAGAACAAAGCAGGATATGATATTTCAAAACTGGATCGAATGATGGATAAAAGTCTACACTTTAGTATCTAAAACAAACTGCCAACTTAATAATCTAAAAAAGAAACTCCTGGGGAACCTGGTTGGCTCAGTCAGTTAAGCATCCAACTTTGGCTCAGGTCATGATCTCACGGTTCAGGAGTTCGAGCCTATGTTGGGCTCTCTTCTGTCAGCACAGAAAATCTGTGCTGTCAGACTAGAAATCTGTCTTGATCTGAGCATATAGGTGGATGTGTTTGTAAAATTCCATGAAGTGACGCCTGGGTGGCTCCGTTGGTTAAACATCCAATTCCTGATTTTGGCTCAGGTCATGATCTCATAATTTGTGAGATTGAGCCCCCAGCACAGAGTCTACATGGGATTCTCTCTCTCCCTCTTTCTGCCCCTCTCCTGTGCACATGCACATGGTCTCTCACACTCTCTCTCTCAAAATAAATAAACATTAAAAAAAAAAACCTCCATCAAGACTAATTTACTTTGCATACTTTACTGTTACACCTCAATATATTAAAACACACACACGTACAGAACCCCATCCCTTTCACTACCTTCACTGCCATCACCCTCATCCAAGTCACCATGTTCTCTAGCATCACTCGCCTGAATTACTACAATAACCTCTTAACATCTCTCTGCTTCTGCCCCTGCCTCTCCCAGCCCAGTCTTTTCACAACCAAGCAGCTAGAGCGACCCTTAAAACAAAGGTCAAGGGCACCTGGGTGGCTCAGTTGGTTAAGCGTCTGACTGTGGCTCATGTCATGATCTCTCAGTCTGTGAGTTCAAGCCTCACATCAGGCTCTGTGCTGACAGCTCAGAGCCTAGAGTCTCCTTCAGATTCTGTGTCTCCCTCTCTCTCTGCCCCTCCCCCACTCACACTCTGTCTCTCTCAAAAATAAAAGCATAGGAAAATTATTTTTTAAAAAAAGGTCAGATAGATCACTCCTTGGCTCAAAACTCTCTAGTGACTTTTATTCTAAATAAAATGACCTACAAGGCCTCTCCTATTCTCCTTTCTCTTGCTCCACTTTTTCTTTCTAAAGTAGGTGAAGAATTTTCAAACTACACGGGATAAACGGAAAAGCTCATGACTGCCCAAATGCACTATATTCTCAAATAATTGATCTGTCCACTGCCTCCAGGAAAATGATTACCTGTCCCAATAGTTTCATATAATTCATAGTATTTGAGAAGTTCATCATAATCTTTCATAGTCCTCCTGGAAGTTTCTACAAAATTGTAAAAGGAACCTGTAAGACAGAAATAGTACATGATCAAAAATAAACTACTATGAGACTATCTTATAAGTGAACATATAAATAAGTCTTAGGCATATAAATGATACCAAAAAAACTGATTCACTATATGGCTAAAAAGAAATTTGGATTCCTATCTCATGCCATACATGAAAATAAAATTCCAGATCAAGCAAAGACTTATATATGAAAGATAAACCTTGAAAAATTTTTAAAGAATATTGTCATGATTTTAGGACAGAAGAGAATCTTCTAAAAAGATAAAGTGCTAATCATAAAAAAATTAAATGTTAAAATTAAGAACTTTTGTCCATCTAAAGACATCCTTAAAAAAGAGAAAATCATAAATGTGAGAAAATATTTGTAACACTTATAAACAATGAGGTTTTATCCCAAATATACTATATACAATATAGAAGACAACCCAAAAGAAAAAAAAAGCAAATGAAATGAAAAGGCATTTCATAAAGAAACACAAAGGACCAATAAAAACATGAAAAAAAAGTTCAATTTTATTAGTTATCAGGGAAATGCAAATTAAGATTCCAATGATATACAATTTTTAAAAACATATAAGATACATATTTTATTGCTATGCTTCACAACTTACGTGTGTAACATACACAGTTGATCCTCAAACAATGCAGGAGTTAAGGGCACCAACTCCCTTGCACGGTTGAAAATCCACACATAACTTTTGACTACCCTGAAACTTAGCTACGAACAGCCTACTGTTGACAGGAAGCCTTATCAATAACATAAAGAGTTAATTAGCACATATTTTGTATTTCATATGTATTATATACTATATTCTTACAATAAAGTAGACTAGAAAAAAGAAAATGTTATTAAGAAAATCATAAGGAAGGAGCACCTGGGTGGCTCGGTCGGTTAGGTGTCCAACTGTTGATTTTGGCTCAGGTCATGATCTCAAGGTTCATGGGATCAAGCCCCACGTGGAGCTCTGTGTTCTGCGTGGAGCACAGAGCCTGCTTGGGACTTCCTCTCTCTCTCTGCCCCTCTCCTGCTCGCATGCACTCTCTCAAAATAAATAAATAAACTTTAAAAAGAAAAAAAATCATATGGAAAAGAAAATACATTTACAGTACTGTATCGTATTTATCAAAAAAAAATCCACGTATAAATGGATTCGCACACTTCAAACTCATGTTCAAGGGTCAACTACGCTTTCAAGTACGTAACAAAAAATATATAAAAATTAGTTGTAAAAAAGTCTTTGGTTGATTTTGTCTGAGTTTTAAAATTAGGTAGAATTAAAAAAAAAAAAAAAAAACAGGGATGAGTTGGCCCCTATTGTGTACATGAGTACATAAAGTCACACTCATATCAGCTTTGTCTTCTTTGTGGAGGATATGCTTAGTTGACTTTAACTAGAGATTAGCAGTGTATCTGGCAGAAGTGCTACTGCAATCAGACTGTCAACCCTGAATTTTCCTTTATTCATTTATCATAGAGATGTGTTTACTGAGCACTAAGCCTTATAATGAAGAAGGAAAGAAAAGTAGTTCCTGCCCTCATGAATCTCACACTCTAGCAGGGAAGACAAAAAGCAAATAAATAATTAAAATTGGTCATAAATACTGGAAAAGAAATAAGCAACAGTGGTCAGAATGAGTTGCTGAGAAGGCAATATTTAAGTCAAGATCCGATTCAAAGGAGAAAAAGGGAGAAAAAGAAAATCAGCCCTCAGGCAATCAAATTAGAGAGGCAGTTAAAATAATGACTCTTTCTTAAGCTGACTGCTGTTTCCTCACCAATGACATCCTCCCACCTCCTGATTCCTAAGATACCCACGTGCTGAAATGCCCCAGCTCTGACAGCATCCATTCTAAAACAGGTCCTTGCTTCCCTAATCCTTTCTTAAAATCAGCAGCAGAAGTTCAGATCCTAAAAGGCCCTTCTCAGTTCCTGGTAAGTATGGTTTCTCTTGCTGCAGCAAGCTTACTACACCTAATATTTTTTACTACAGATATGTTCTTAGTGGGTTGTGGTCGGTAGACCTTAACAGGAGTCATTACCCCAAAAAGAATGAGAAGACAAGCACTAGGAAAAGAGGGAATTTTAAGTGCAAAGATTCCAGAAAAAAAAAAAAAGTTGACATGTACTGAACTGAAATTGCTTTTAGAGGAACCAGCAAATGGAAATGCAGATTTGGAGCAGGAACAATGGGTTAGCCACATGAAGGGGGAAAAAAAAAAAAAAGAATATTGGATCTCTCACAACACACAAAATCAATTAGAGTTAGCGTAAAGACTTACAAGTGAAAGACAAATCTTTAAAATGAAGACAGCTAAGGTCTTGCCCACACCAGACCTGTAGCTAGGAGTGGGAAAAGGCAGAAAGAAAGAGAAGTAAGAGTTAAAAGAATAGTCTCATGGAAGCCAAGAAGGAAGAGAAAAATGAAACAGTAAAAGAAAGTTTCTAGGAAGTAGACTTCCAAAATTTTCTAAATGTGCTCATTTATAGGTCAAGTCCTAGGACATGAGTTCCGGTGCTGCAAAGCAGAGCTTTCATTATGGGTAGACAGGGAGTGAAGATCTCTGAACCTATACAGAAATGGTTTCTTTAAGGGACTCTCCTTCCCAGAGGCTGGTATGGAAGGACAGCAACTTGAGAGGAGTCGCCCCAACACTCCTTAGAGAGCCAAGCAGGAATCAAGAGGCCCAGGAAACTGGAGGTCACTGAGTCAGGCACAAAGAATGCCCCACATAGGCCAGCACCGGCACACCAGGACTCTCAAGTTCATAAAGGGGTTTGAGGCCAATACCCAGCTAGAGATGAAATCCTCCCTTTGCCTGGCCTGACCCCTGTGGGCAAATCTCCCTTGGTGACCTAACCGTGGAATAGCTTTGACAGAACAGCGTTCAGGATCCTCAAACCCATTCTTGCTAACATTAAATGAGTACATGCATATCCAGCTGGGACTTGGGAAGCGAGTTACACCTGGAAACTTGATTACTGCTTCTCAGTAGTGGACACCTGGTGTTAGTGCTCATTTCTAGAGCCAGATAGTCTCCCTTCGCCAATAGGCAGAGCTCTAGCAAGCTCACCGAAGGCTCACATTGATGGGTGGCCAGCACCATGTTCACTACCTTCACGTTCTCTGTTCTTCATTCTGTCTCACCCAGAGCTGAGTGGCCAGAATGTTATTAAGCCTTAAAAATGGTCATGACTTTGGAAGATCTAGAATACAAATCCAACCTCAGAAATGTGGCAAGTTTGTAAAAGAAAAGGAGAGGGTGACTGGGTGGCTCAGTCAGTTGAGCATCCGACTTCGGCTCGTGGTTGACGAGCTCAAGGCCCACATTCCGTGTTGGGCTCTGTGCTGACAGCTCAGAGCCTGGAGCCTGCTTCGGATTCTGTTTGTGTGTGTCTCTCTCTCTGCCCCTCCCCTGCTCATGTTCTCTCTCTGTCTCAAAAATAAACATTAAAAAATTTTTTATAAAATAAAAGGAGGAACTTAAGACAGTGAGGATGGGGCATCTTCTTAAATCAAGGTACAGAAAAAACTGAATGTAATCCAAAAAAGCCCAAGAGCCGCAAAGGATATTTTTTCAAACATCCTTTTAAATCTCCTTTTAAAATGCATAAGGCACTCTGATTTCATGAATCATTTTACTTAGAGATAAAAGATAAATTATGGTCAGCTGCTAAAAAGCCTTCGAAATGTTGGTCAATGAACAGAACACTACAGCAGAAGCTTTGGAATGAAAATTAAAACTCGAGGAAAAACATCAGCCTTAAAAAAAAGTTTTAATTTCAATGTCAAAGCTATTATAGCAAGAAAGATAAAGATGATGAGCAAAAGACATTCTGATCCAATAAATAGTAGCCATTTCCTAGGAAGAGATGGCATTGGACCAACTTAATAAGCAGACTGAACTTCTTATCTAGCTAAACCTGCATGAATGGGGTAGGACAATAGAAGAAGCAAAGTCAGGCCACAGAAAATTGGGGATATAAAATGGAACTTTAAAAAATTTTTTTTAGTTTATTCATTTTGAGAGAGAGAGAGAGTGTACAAGCAGGGGAGGGGCAGAGAGAAAGAGAGGCAGAATCCCAAGCAGGCTCTGCACTATTAGCAGAGAGACCGATGTTGGGCTCAAACTCACAAACCACAAGATCATGACCTGAGCTGAGATCAAGAGTCAGAGCCGCCACCCAGGCACCCTAAAATGGAACATTTCTGCTTCCACTGGAGTGGCAAGTTACTTCAGGCAAGAACTATCATAGCGGTCATATTTATTCTCACTGGCACCTGAGGCACAGGATAAAATATATCCTTAACAGCAGTACTAATTCAGAAATCTTTTGAAGAGTATTTGTCAGTGGGGCAAAGGTGGGAATGAAGTGGAACCACCCCCAAAAAGGCAGGAATCATAGGAAATAAGAAATTTCAAAACAGGCAACAACAGCAGTAAAGGTCTAGTCAACACAATAAAATCTTTGGGCTCCTGGGGCACCTGGCTGGCTGTCAGTGGAGCATGCGACTCCTGATCTCACAGTTCTGAGTCTGAGCCTCATGCTGGGTGTAGAGATTACTTAAAAATAAAATCTTGGAAAAAAAAAAAAGAAAAAAAATTTGGGGATCCTGATAAGGGAGGAAAGAGCAGGAGATTAGAAATGGGGTAATGTCAGGCGATAAATCTGTTTGGAAAGTTGCCTGCTATCAGGTTCATTAGAGAGCAAAGTCCAACTAAGGCAGTACTGGGGTATTGAGAACACAGGGGCTAAAGAGGGGACACAAAGAGACATTTCAAAGCCTAAAAACCATGAGATGGAAATGGACAAAAGCCTCACAAAATGTAAGAATCCTACTTGCCCGCATTGCACATACCTAAATTCCATACAAAGGTCTGGGCAATTCCAACGACCACACTCCAAAGGAGAAAATCATTTGTATGATGTTGGAAGTCACATCCCCAGATGAGGAATATAAGCATTCACAATAAACTTTTCTTGACTGATTTCTCCCAAGTGAATTTTGAACTTCCAGGTCATGGCCTCGAGTCAACTAGCAGAGATCAACTTGTGCCGATTTAAGTTGGAACCATGCACCTCCTCTTTTCTCTTTCTTCCTTTGTCATTATCTCCTCCCCTCCCCCCACAGTACACCATGTTTTTGGAGGTGTAAAACAAACGTGGGCCTACATTACACCTACTGAATCCAGGGCCCATCACTTTCGCTACTTTTAGAAGAAAACTGGTGCTTGCACTGCAAACTGCTTTAAGGACAACAGGTTTGACTCGGTTTTTAAATTTTGTGTATGTGGAGCTGGCTGCAAATATTCTTAAGTGCCTGTTTGTCCTCAAAAGTTTGGAAATATAGGGGCGCCTGGGTGGCTTAGTCGGTTAAGCGTCCGACTTTCGCTTAGGTCATGATCTCGCGGTTTGTGGGTTCGCGCCCCGCGTCGGGCTCTGTGCTGACTGCCAGCTCAGAGCCTGGAGCCTATTTCGGAGTCTGTATCTCCCTCTCTCTCTGACCCTCCCCTGTTCACGCTGTCTCTCTCTCTCCTAGAAATAAATAAAAATATTTTTAAAAAAAGCTTGGAAATATTGAACACAGGAAGGACAGGGCTGGAGGAACCCAACTTTGTAGCTGTTTAAAGGAGGTGGATGATCAATGAGGAAGGCAGCCTCTCAACTGTGGATAATGAAGATAATGAAGAATACTACACTCCAATCAGTTACCTGAATGTTCCCTGATCCTCTGAATGTGACTACATAGAACTGGGGACATAAACGACTGGGATGCTGCACTTCCCTGAAGAAACAAGAACTGCTTAGATAGTAGGTTTATCACGAAGTTTTACAGAAGAGCAACAAATTGGGGGCAATTTCTTACTAACAGTATTATTTGGGCTATGCTATTACTTGCTGGGTAATACATTTACCTCATCTATGAGCTTGGTAAGATCCCGATGCTGAGTATCTTTCAAATGAGAAACAGAATATCAAATAGCTTATAATGTAGCCGTGTAATTGATACATTTAATTAACATCCTGTCCTGCTCCCTTGCATAGGCTTCTGGGAGGGCCAGCGAAGAGGCATTCATTCCTAAAGACGTTCGGGGACTCATATGCCCATCTGGTTGGTCCACAGTAGACACACAAGAAAAACAGATCCACTAGAGAAACAAGCCCGTGAGGGTGCAGTAAAGGAGTTTCTGATTTCTCCCAAACAACATAATAAACAGAAACCAAACTATGAACAAAAAAGTTAGGGAATACTGACTTCTAAGCAACACTCCAGGTACCTCTGAAACCCACCGCCTCTTTACACCCGTTCCACTACCAAAGAGAAATACCAAAGGTTAGTAAAGCTCAAGTTTTCATACAAGGTGCTTTCTTGGGACGCTCGCCTCTGGGAGTTTGCCTTTTTCCCCACCGGTTTCTTGGTGGTGCTGCTCCTTTTACTGCTTTGGCAGTCAGGGCATATCCCTATTCGTGTGAGCCTCTTAAGCCACTACTTTGGGACGGTGAAGGAAGGGAAAGGATTTGGACTCTGAAAAGGGAGTGGTAACACACAACACATTCCGTTTGAACCGCACTGCCCCAGTAAACTGGATTGTACGAACAGAAATAACTTGGAACCCTTCCTTCAACTCGTTTTCGCGGAGACAGGGTCACGGAAACGTGGCACGGAAATTCACAACTCTCGCAGCCTCCTCCGCGGCAAACGCTCGGCCCGCCCCTCAATAACTGAGGTAGGTACGATCATTATCCCCACTCAAAAAGAGAAAACTGGGGGGTCGGAAAGGCTGATTGCATCGACCGGGAAGTGGGTTCGTAAGGTGAGGTCCACGTCCCCGAGGGGTTTGGGGAAATTCTCCAGTCTCAGGTGAGCCAGGGACAAGCTGACTCGCGCCGCCACTCCCCCACGCCGCGCACAGCTTCGACCCCGGCCCTGACTACGGCGGGAGACACTGACCTGCGGGGCGAAGGGGCGGAGGGCCGGGCGGGGTGGGGCCGGGTAGAAGCACACAGGAGGCGGCCAGCCGTCCCGGGCGAAGAAGCTAGTGCCCAGAGCCCCTAGTAAGCTTTGGATCGTCGGGTTCCGGCCGCTTCCGCCCGCCAAGGAAATCAAACCTCCCGGGCCGGAAGGGGCGGGGCGCGGCGCCGGGGGCGGGTGAGGCGGGGGCGCGCGAGCGCTCTGACCCGACCGGAAGGGCTGGGCAGGGAACCGGGCGGCCAGTGTTTGTCGCGGTGGGAGAGGCCTTGTGACGTGACACAGTGGTCTTTAGGCTGGGTCCGCCTTCACCGGAGGGTGTGTGAATATTCTCCAGGGGGCGTGGACGAATAAAGTTTCCACGGAATTCTCCCATTTTATGCCCGGCTTCCTAACATTGATCTGCAGAGAAGTCGCTGGTCTTAACGGTTCTCATTTCGTCCTCCCCTTGCCTAGTGGCCCTTCTCTCACCCATCAAATACAAGTATACTCTCGCCTCTCCAAATCTCACTAAAACGTGTTGGCACCAGGAATAAAACCCCCAGGGGCCAAACTGTCCATTAGGTAGGTCAAGGTACCAAAATCACTAGCCGAGCATCACAACGGAAATCTTTAGTATACAGTTCACTACCTGGTTATTATGTGATTTTAATCGCTGAATGAATTACAATTGTAATGGCAACGCTATCTGGGAGAAAAAATTAAAAATTACAGCCACAGGAAAGAACATTATAAATTTGCATATGTATTTTTAAAATAGACGTGACTGTTCTAGATCGGTGTTAGTTTCACAGGAAGTTTGAGGGAAAGGTACAGATCGCTCCTGAACACTGTGCTCCCACGCATTCATAGCCATCGCATTATTAATATCTCTCATCAAATCACCGAAGTGGTACATTTGTTCCAGCTGCTCAACCTACATTGACACCCAACGACCATGTGTGTACATTTTATGAGTTTAGACAAACGTATAATGACATGTATCCACCATTATTGTATCATAGTTTCATTGCCCTAAAAATTCTCTGCTCTATTCATATATATATATTATAAATATACGATTTGTATTATATATGCTTATATATAATATATAGTATAATCAAATATATAATATGTATTATATATTATGTATAATTTTTTACTGCAATGAAGTACAATAAGGTGCTGGATAAAAGGTTTTCAAGCAGAAAAAAATTACATTAAGATAGTATTCTATGGAATAGAAATATAAGTCAGGAAGGGGGGAAAAAAAGAAATAAGGAAATGTCAAAAAGAAGCTGTGGGGGCACCTGGGTGGCTCAGCCAGTTGAGTGCCAGACTTTTTATTTCAGCCCAGGTCATGATCTCACAGTTGGTAAAATCAAGCCTGGGTAGGGCTCTGTGCTGTCATCACAGAGCCGCTTGGAATTCTGTCTCCTTCTCTCTCTGCCTCTCGTGTGCTCAGTTGCTCTCTCTTTCTCTCTCAAAATAATAAACATTAAAAAAAGAAGGAAAAAAAGAAGCTGTGTATTTTTATTTGTGTAACTTTTTCATGGATGATGGTGGGTATCAAGTCACTCAGTATTTCCAGTCCAGTGGATTTCCTTAAAGGATTAATGTTATAGCTTTATTCTAAGACATACATAATAATCCAGCTTTTTAAATAAATATTTCTAATAATCCAAAAATTACATCCTTTGACCATTCAAAATTATAAGAAAATTTAGATGTCTACTTTTTCAAAATTATTTTGAGTATACATATTTTAAAGAGTTTGGGGGAAAAAAAGAGTTTGGATATTACTGAATTAAGGAGGGTAAAACAGTTCAGTACAAAGAGGCAGAGCTCTGAGTTGTGAGGCCTGAAAGAAGTGCCTGATCCTCTACAGGCCTATTTCCTCATATGCATAATAAGGAGGTTGGATTATGATAGGGCCGCTCCCTGTTTCTGGGTGGGTCTGGCCATTTGGGATGTAACGTCTCTACCAATAATTACACCATTAGCAGCGATAATAAAATCCACTATGATTTTTTTGAGAAGGTAATGTGCACTTACATGCATCATCTCTAATGCCAAATGTCTGCCCCTCTCATGCAGGGTAATATGTGCTATTTATTCTTCCATCAGTCACCAGTGCCTACCCTATGCCAACCCTCTACTCAGGGCAATGCCAGAAAAAGGAATAAAAGAGACATGGCTTCTGCCAAAGCTCATAGACAGAAGAGCCGGATTCAAATTCATAGACAAACAACTCTAATAAAGGGCCAAACAAAAGTACTAAACATCAGTGCATACAGCCAGACTGATGAGAGCTCAAGGAAGAAAGCAATAATTTCCGCCGAGGAGATTGAAATATTTTGTACTAGAGTTAGGCCTTGAGAAAAAAAAAATCTGACAAGGGAAGAATATTCCCCAGACAGGGCAAGGTATGTATGCAGAAGCACAGAGGCAAGAAAATACAAGTCTCTTCAGAGAAAGGCATGTTGGGTAGAACACAGGGAAATGGGGGTGTGGCAAGAAAGGAAGAGTAGGTAAGCAGAGACCCACTTTGAAGGGCTTGTGTGCCAGGCTAGAGCTGGGTGGGGTGCTGACCAAGAGAGGGAGACGAACAGATATGCATTTCAGAGAGAGAGCAAGCAGCTGGTCTGCCAGCACAGGAGAATCCAAGCTTAGCAAAGCAGGGTAGGAACTGTGCTTCTCCGGTGGCAGAATGGATGCCCGGATGTCAGCACTACATGCGGCTAAGTCATCAATGGGGATGGGAAGCAAAGGGTTCAGTCCATTCATAGCAGTGCTGCTTCCCTGACTAAGCCCAAGTTAGACGACCTCAGGCTACAAACCATGTCTTGGTTCCTATATCCCATCCAAGAGAAATTGGGAAGCCACCCAAAATTAAGTTTTGGCCCCCTAGTCTTGCTAGAAAAGGAGATAGCTCTAAAAAAAACCTATTAAACATACTTCAGAAATTTGATTTTGAAAACTACTTTGGGAATTTGTTAAATCTGCTAATTTTGATCATGAAACTGTTATATAGGAGAATGTCCTTGTTGGGGCGCCTGGGTGGCTTAGTCGGTTAAGCGTCCAACTTTCGCTTGGGTCATGATCTCGCGGTTCGTGGGTTCGAGCCCCGCGTCGGGCTCTGTGCTGACTGCCAGCTCAGAGCCTGGAGCCTGTTTCAGTCTGTGACTCCCTCTCTCTCTGACCCTCCCCTGCTCACGCTGTCTCTCTGTCTCTCTCTCCTAGAAATAAATAAAAATAGTAAAAAAAAAAAAAAAAAAGGAGAATGTCCTTGTTCTTGGAAAAACACAGAGAGATCTAGAGAGAAGGAGGAGGAGGAGGAGGAGGAGGAGGGGCAAAATGTGGAATTAGTGAATCTGGGTAAAAGGTGTATGGAAGTTCCTTGTTCAGTTCTACTCTTGTAACTTTCCTATAAGTTTGAAATTGTATCAAAATACAAAGTAAGCAAAAAATATCAGGAATATGTTTTTAATTGTTTACCCCTTAGCCCCTTAGCACCTACCACAGAATCTTAACATTACTATAAACAATGGTTTATCTCTTAAGTTTCCATTCTCTGTAGACACTGTCCTGCAGGTTGTATATACATTATTTCTAATTCTGCAGAGTAGTTATACCTATTCCCATTTTACAGATGAGGAAACTAAGGTTTAAGTTTAGTTATCTGGTAAGAAGCAGGGCCAGGGATCCAAAGCCCAGGCTTTTTCTGCTATAGTTGTGCTAATGCTTGCTGAATTGAATATGAGGGAAGTTTGAACAACTAAAGTTTAAGGTACATAGAAATTTAAGAGACTTTGTGAATTAATAAGAATGATGATGAACACCTTGACCAAAACCGCACCCTCATCAATAGGCAAAGGCTAAAGATTACACTTTGGAAGATTATGCAACCAATTTTTCAAAAGAATTAGGTAAATATACTACCATTGGGGTTTCCAGGTAAAAGGCAACATAGTAGGGACATACTTGTATTAAAAAAATTATCCACTATTTATCCAAAATTCAATTTTCACGGGGCATCATATATTTTTAACTGCTGTATCTGGCAACCCTAAATGCCATGGAAGAACGTCTGCTTTTTTGGTGAAATAAATAAGCCACTTATATAGCTAACTCGCACAGCCCCATTTTTGTTTAGAAAAATGTGTAAGTGGGGCGCCTGGGTGGCGTCCAACTTTGACTCAGGTCATGATCTCACGGTTCGTGGGTTGGAGTCCTGCGTCATGCTCTATGCTGACAGCTAGCTCAGAGCCTGGAGCCTGCTTCAGATTCTCTCTGTCTCTCTGTCCCTCCCCCACTCATGCTCTCTCTCTCGCTCTCTCTCTCAAAAATAAACATTTAAAAATTTTAATATTTAAAAAAAATTTTAACTATGTAAATATAGGTAAATGTCTGGAAAGGATATTCGTTGCAGCATTAACATTCCCTCTAGAAAATGGAATTAGGGTATAACAGAGAAGACTCTATAGTTTTTACTTTTCTATACTACTATATTGCATGTATTTTTAATTTAAATCATTACTGAGATAATTATAGATTCACATGCGGTAGTAGTAAGAAAGAATGCAGAAACATCCCTTATATGCGTTGCTCTGGTTCCCTCTAAATAAGAAAAACAAAAAACCAAACTTTTTTTTTCTGTATTACTACTCACACTAAACACTCTGACACCAGCGGAATGTCTACAATTCAAATCAATTCTGACACTAACTACTTGGAGTTAGCGTCAGACAACACAGGTTAAGGACTCAGTCCCACCAAACCTCACCAACTTCAGACGCCAATCTGGAGTCCGGGCGTCCTGTACTCCAGACCAAGCAGGTATAAATCAGGAGTTTCCATGCCCCCCTCCTCGGGTTTGATAATTTGCTGGAGCAGCTCATAGAACTCAGGAAAACAGCTGACTTACTACATTACTGGTTTATTCTAAAAGGACACTACTGAAGAGATGCCTAGGGCAAGGTAACTGGGAAGGGGCTCAGCAGGTCCAAGCCCTCACTGGGCAAATCAACCACCTAGCACTTCCATGCCTTCAGCTCCCAGAAGCTCTCTGAATGCTTTGCTTAGAGTTTTCTACAAGGGCTTCACCATGAAGGTATGGTTGATTAAATCATCAGCCGC